AACTATCAGGCTGTGTTTTTATCACCCATATTTTGTTACTTGTTCAGCCGGTTGCTACTTATCGTTCGATCATCTCTTTCAATTTGAATCTGCTTATTAAGATAATAATAATTAATAAACTATTTATTAAAATGAGTACTCATCACAATATTGAAATGGTTAAAAGGTGTGAAATAATTAATTTACATAAAGAAGGAAAAATTATGTCGCAAGTTTCTGGAGAAACTGGAGTTCATTTGAGTTTTTTGACGTGACAACGTCTTATAATTCGATGGAGCCGGCTGCACGCACGAAAAAACATGTTTTTTTTTATTTTTTATTTTTTTTTATTGCTTAGATGGTTGGACGAGCTCACAGCCCACCTGGTGCTAAGTGGTTACTGGAGCCCATAGACATCTACAATGTAAATGCGCCACCCACCTTGAGATATAAGTTCTAAGGTCTCAGTATGATTACAACGGCTGCCCCACCCTTCAAACCGAAACGCATTACTGCTTCACGGCAGAAATAGGCGGGGTGGTGGTACCTACCCGTGCGGACTCACAAGAGGTTCTACCACCAGTGATTCATTGAGGCGTTCCATTTAAGGCTTGAAGTGCAAGCGAGAGCGCGCAACGAGCGACAAAGAGGCACAATCGACCTCCGCGTTCGGCAGCGTTCGACATCTGTCTCTCTCCTACTTGAGAGACCGATGCATCCGCGTGGACAGCTGCTATAAAATAATACATTTACATGTTTTCGTCAAGTATGAAGTTCAGGGAAAAGTGAATGTGGTGTCAATTGTCCATACAAAATATCTATCAAACAAATAAAATTAAAATTTTCTTTTGAAAAATGAAACCATTCCATCAGTATTTTCTTATGACGTTGTCACGTTCAACTATCGTCAGTAAACCGNGGGTCTTGAAAACACTCGCCTTGCGGCGAGGCCCCAACTTCTCGGACCTGAGCGGTTCTATTGAACACAGGTGGCAATGCGGCGCGATTACTACAGGACAAAGAAAAAGCACAACAAAACAGAAATTACGAAAAGAAACAAAACAAATAAATACTTGCAGGAAACCACTTTGTCGGCAGATGTACCACGAACACAAAAATAACTAAAACAAAACAAATAAAAGCTTCCAGGAAACACACTTGGTCGGCAGATGTATCACGAACACAGGCCGCGCGAACAATGGCCGGGCTAACAAAAGCCGGGCGAACAAAGACCGGGCGATCGAGTGGACAATGAGCACGTCCGCACGTGACGGGTGCCTCTATCGGAATAACCTAAAAAAAGTCCGCGACAGTATATGTTTATATTTTAAGGTTGGCTCACTATAACAACCTTTTTTATGTTAACCAAATTTGTTCTAAATTATGCATTATTTGTGGTGTTTTTATAAAGATAATATTAATCATTATCCAAATATTATACGTTACTCATTATAAGTATTTAATTTAAAAGAAATTTGTTCAGAATAAGAAGAATGACAAGAATAACCCAATCAATTCAAGATCGGCTTTGAAAATTGTAGATTTTTCTCGAATTCTCCAGGATCCCATCATCAAATCCTGATCCTGATGATTACAGGACCATTCGAGAAGTCTACCTTTTCGAACAACAAAACAAAAAAAGAAAAAAGAATTATCAGAATCGGTTCAAGCATTCTCGAGAAATCGGTGAACCTACATAGATAAAAACATTATAGTACTTAGTTGTCTTAATATAATACTTAATCCGGTCAAAGGTCATGCTAAATAATTGTTAGGTATATATAAAATGTATAACAGTTATATATAATAATATACTTTCAAATACAATTTTTTTATTGTGGTTCAGCTTCAAACTTCTTTCTACTTACAGAAACGAATACTTAAGCTAATACCTCGATAAAATGTTAAAATACAACTTTTGTTCATTCCATAATATAATTATTCAAAGTTTTAATTAAATAAGTTAAAACCTCATAACATATTTGCCGTATGCGTTCGTAGCATTTAACTAGACTGGGCACAAAGGCTAAAAATAAGGATTTAGAAACTCAAACACAACCTGATTTAAAATATAATGTATTCGATTCTACTCTAGATTCTAATCGAACTACTTACTAGTTTTCGGTTATTAAATTAACATCAAAAACTGCTTCAATATTTAATGAATTCAAATATTGTTTTAAGAATACATATTTTATGTTTTAAGCTCCAAAAAGGGGATTATTTCTGTTGCAAAGTTATTCTTTTTCCATAATATTTTTTTATTTCACTTATCTACAAAATTAAAATGTAAACTTATAAATAAACAAAACATAGAAAAATCGTATCTTTATGAAAAAGATACGAACTCTTGGTCATTTTCGGATTCATCTAAGCAGCCGTTAAACTGAGCTATCGGCACATACTGTCATTAGGATAAAATATCGACCTTAAAATAATTTAATATACCGCGGATTAAGCTAATTGTAATCGTGATTTTAGATTTAATGTTGTTATATTTTATGTTGTAATTGGTTTTATTGATGATTGATAACAAATTAATACGCAACTTCAAGTATAAGTCATAATAGTACTATAGAGATATTATTTTTGTTAACATTCTATCTACCTAGTCTTGCCATAAATACTGAGACAAAGGAGAAAAAAAATTCTATTGCAAATAACATTTATTACTTTTACAGTGTGTTAGTTTAATACATAAATATAAAACAATTTAAAGTGTAAAAAGCTTATTCGAAGTGGTCTCCATTGGCTGCAATACAGTCTTTTAAACGTTGAGGCCAGTTATCAATAGAAGCACGCACTCTTTCCATGGGAAAAAATTTCACTGCCAATCGTACGGATTGTTTTAGGAGCTCCAAATTATCATGGCGCTTAGAGCAAGCCGTACTCTCTAAAACTGACCATAAATCATAATCCAGCGGATTAAGATCGGGACTAGACGACGGCCAGTCTTCAGCTCTGATGAAGTCCGAAACGCTCGTTTCCAACCAAGACTGCGTAGACCGAGCTTTATGACCTGGCGCCGAGTCTTGCTGGAAGGACCATTCTTGATTATTGAATATGGTGTTGTTAAGGGGCTTCACTACCTTCTCATGAATGGTATCTTGATACACTTGTGCCGATGTTTTGATACCTTTTTCACAAAAGTATGGCTCAGTCACTCCTTCATAGCTAATACCCCACCAAACCATCACTGAAGTCGGATAGCGTCCACGTTGCACTCTGTCGACTAATTGGGAAGCTTTCTTAGAGCTTTGAGCATAAATACGGTAATTTTGTTTGTTAAAAAGTTGCTCAATTGTAAAAAAATTCTCATCCGTAAACAAAAATTTTCTATGACCTCCCTTTGCGTACCGCTTCAGTAGTTGTTTCGATTTTACCACCCTGTTCTCTTTTAAATTATCAGTTAAGAAATGACCAATACGTCTCTTATAGGCTGCAAGTCCTAAGTCATCTTTTAAAATACGCGACATGGTTCTAGGTGCTGTCTTCATCTCCCGAGATAAAATCTTTTGCTTTCGGACAGGATTTCTTCGAATTCTTTCCCTTACTGCTTTGACCACCTTTTTCGTACGAACACTACGTGGACGGCCAGATCTTTTTCTGTCACAAACAGAGGAGGTCTCATTGCACCTATTAATAGCCCGGTACACAAATATTTTACTAATACCAAGCGTATGGAGAGTTTAAAAAATTGCATTTGGCTCCATACCTACTTTGTGTAACGCAATAACAGCGATTCGGTTCTCTTTATCACCCCACTCCATTTTCATATCGCAAAATATTGTACAATGTATTGGCGCCAAAATGAGAAAACACAATGAGTAATTAGATAAAAATGACAGATTCCAAATTCAAATGTAATATTTTGTTTATTTTTAATTGTAACAGTATTTATGGCCAGACTAAGTATTTACACCTAAATTGTTAAGCAGTTTAACATTTTATCTAGTATTTTTTTTGCGAATACCTTACAATATCCTCACCGTCGTGTTCAGGCGAATATAGAGCTTAAGGTGTCTATTCACTTATGCTGTCGCCTGTACTTAAAAAAACAATATTCCTGTTGCGTTGGTATTTGTGAGGATCACTAATGCTTAAGGCTGAAAAAAGGACTGAGAGGAATACTTATTTTGATGGATAAAATTACAGGGATGCTTATATCACGTGATGCAACTCTGCTGTGATTTGAATCTACTTTGTTATTAATTCAGTAACTCATCAAACAGATCAACAATCTAATTGTTTTGGTTTAAAACAAGGAAGTTACCGTAGGGTGTCCATTTTTTCCCATAGAAGTACACTGAGTTTCTCGCCGGATCTTCTCAGTGGGTCGCGTTTCCGATCCGGTGGTAGATTCTGTGAAGCACTTCTTTTGCTAGGGCCAGTGCTAGCAATACTCCGGTTTGAGCCCCGTGAATTCATCTACACGTTAATGAGAAGCTGAAATAGCCTCTCAAGGCTAACAGCATAGGTAGGGAAAAAGAAAAAAATGGTGTTCATGAAAATCGTAACTGAAAGTGATAAAGTAAGCTAAAGAATTACATACCGTCTGTAAAACGTGCTATGTAGCTTTGTCCTCTTCCTCGTTGAAACAATTAGTATTCGTTCGTCATACGAAACACGTGGGCTTAAATTGTATTACTTTGACGTGTCGTCTCGTCAAAATTTTAACTGAATTACGTAAACAAAGAGAACGTAGACACAAAATTAATAATGAATGCGTTATTCGGAAATTTTAAAGCATTATCACATTTATGGATAATTAGGATCGATGGTCACATTAAAAGCTTTACGATTGTATTTATGATTGTATCTTTTGGGTTCATGGCAGAAATAGGCAGGTTGGTGACACAGGCTCATACCCCATTACTGGTTTACTACAAAATATCATAACAACAAGTTTACTCTAATTATATTTTATATCTTAAAGCTCTAATTCTTAATAGTCATTGTATGATTTGAAATCAGAGAATAAAAATAAAATTTCAATTTAAAATATCCTTTAATCACTTCATTTTCCTTCATCAATCGTCATAACATAGCTTTCAGGTTCATAATCAAAGTCTAGAGTCCTTGACTTTACAATTTCTTTGAATATAAAAGCAGATTTTCTCGGCGTCCGTGTAAGTTCTGGACTGTCGTAATCAACTTCATAAAGTCCAAATCTTTGCCTGGAAATATAGACAGGCAATATCAAAGGATTTTATTATTACAATCATATCAATCATAATCAAATTACATTATAGATCGCTAATTTAAGAAAATTAATGAGATATAAATACTCACGTATATCCAGACATCCATTCAAAATTATCCATCAAGCTCCAAGGAGTATACATTCTGATATCGGATCCATCTTTAATAGCGTCTAGAAGAGCATTTAAGTACAACCTCATATGCGTGATTCGGTCGTTGTCTTCGAAGCCGGTAAGGGTCGCGAAACCGTTTTCAGTGATTATAATCGGAACGTTATTGTAAAAATTCGAAATTTGTCTCAAAAGTTTGTAGAAGCCCCATGGTGTGGTCTGTGAATGAAAGTTGTTAGAGCTTTGTTAGTACCTTGAACCTTATTCTGGTATTATAAATAAAACAGGTTTAACATAGTCAAATAAAAATAATTCCGAAGCAAGTGCTAGTTCAGTGATAGTTGATATAACTTCTGCCGCAGCTTGTTAGTGTCAGCGTGTCTTCAGCTATGTCTTCAATTGAAATCCTTAATCTTATTCACGGCTGAGCAGGTAAGCTGGAGTTTGAAAGTGAAAGAGATACTCACACTGCGAGTCTCGACACCGCGAAAGCCTTTAAAGCGGTCTAGGACAGGATACCTATACCGAGATTACGATTGGATTGGATCCTAAACTTTTTGCATTAGCGGGGAATGAAATCAGTAATCGTAGTCGATTACAAACTGAAGCACTGACGTTCTATAATGAGCGAAATTCTGTCTAGCACTTTTCTTTCATTATGCTAATGAGGTGCTCTCCATCATTGCTTTTTAGGCGACAGCACAGAGAAGGAATGATGAAATGACCGTCACATTTATGACCTTAATCAGATAGCACTGCGAGCTTACAGATTCATTCAACAGATTAAATTAGATCTAAATCGACTAAAGTTATTTTTTAAATGAAATACCACAATTCGTTTATAAAGATATAAGGTGACTATGTCAATCCATATAATAAGGCGCATCATCACTTGCGGCTCAAAGTGGTTGACACTCATTACTGCATCCGCTACCGGTTTCCAACTGAACTATGACTTTTACTGGTGGTAGGACCTCTTGTGAGTCCGCACGTGTAAGTACCACCACCCTGCCTATTTCTGCTGTGAAGCAGTAATGGGTTTCCGGTTGAAGGATGGGGCAGCCGTTGTAACTATACTTGAGACCTTAGAACTTATATCTCAAGGTGTGTGGCGCATTTACGTTGTAGATGTCTGTGGGCTCCAGTAATAACTGAACCCCAGGTGGGCCGTGAAATCGTCTACCCAACTAAGCAATAAAAAAAGACATCCACGAAGCAAAATTAAACTTTATAATATTATAATCTCACCTTGATTCTGTTATGGGTACCAATAGACCATTCATCCTTGTCATAAAAGAGTACACCAACATCATCATTATACGAAGGTATTTCGTAGTAACCGACAACTGACTCATTTCTGTACGTCAAAAATGTCGAGTAGTGATTTAAACCAAAAAAGTCTGATGTTCCACGGATGTATTGAACTTCTTCAGCACTTAGCTCTGGGAACCGTGAGCGTAAGAAACCTTGTTCAGCACTCTTAGCTGCTACACGTTGTTTGACTATTTCGGGATAGTCACCGCTGTCAGTGAATATAGGGTGACCGTATTGACCACACTGTAAAAGCATGCATTTTAATATTTACTGTTTTAATAAGTAGAATGTCAATATATACTAGTCTCGTGAAGGGTCGTGAAACTGGAGGCGACATCAAATTGCAAGAGGGATGTCTGTTATGCTCATCTCACCTAGTTATCGACGGATTTACAGAAATCATTATTATTGACATTGTAGATAGACAAGAATACGGTCAGTACTGATCATCAATAGTCTCTAGTAATTCAGCAAATTAGTAGAGATTGGCAACGCCAGGGACAACCAAGCCGCTGCCGGCTGTTGATGAATAGGTAATTAGAGTATATAGCAGATACATTTTTTAGTATATGCATGAACAAACCTCGAATAAGATCATTTCATTCGCTGCGTTAATATCTTCCTCGCGATCGCTTTCAGGCTCATACCATTGGCAACTAATGGTTATAGAGATATTTCCATTTTGGGTAGGTCGGAATTCCTTGTCATAGATATGATAAGCTTTAGCGTGAGCTAAAAGAACGTTCTTCCCACACAAGTAATCAGCCACTCCGCTCATAGTGTATGCTGGAGCTAATGTACCTATTGCGTAACCTTGGAAACAAATTTCTTTCGGTTCGTTTATAGTGATCCAATTCTTAACTCGATCACCAAATTTTTGGAACAGAACTCTGGCGTAGTCCGCATACCAATCGATGATATATGGGTTCGTCCAACCTCCCATATCCTGTAATTTCTGTGGTAAGTCCCAGTGGTAAATTGTGAGCATCGGCTCAATATTGTATTTGAGTAATTCGTCAATCAGATTATTGTAATAAGCAACTCCAGCTTCATTTATATAATCTGGGAAACTCGTGGGTAAAATACGAGTCCAAGACACAGAGAATCTGTAATAATCAACACCAAGTTCTCTTATCATTTCAACATCTCGTTTGTAAAGTTTATAGGAATCATTTGCGATGTCTCCCGTAGAGTTATCGGCTACCGGGCTGGGTACTTTGTGACAGGCACGATCCCATATATTTTCAGTTTTTCCTGAAACATTTTTGGATTTTCTGAACTTCAATAATTAGCTTAAATTTATTTTTTATTATTACATACATATTTCGAATAGTTGCATGCTTACCGTCAACATTCCAAGCGCCTTCGATTTGGTAAGAGGCTGTAGCCGCCCCAAACGAAAATCCTCTAGGGAATTCGCGCGAATCTTGGCGCATATGCCATCCAATTGCATTCGTTAAAATACACAACAATATTAATAACGCTCTGTGAAAAAATGTCAACATACTTAAGAATAGCAAGCAATGTACTTATAAGGATTTTTTTTTAATTTGCAATGATATGTCGGTTTTATTTAATATAAGTGAAATGGTTTAACTTACAATAAATAACTGGAAGGTAAATGAAGCATTGTCACTGCTTCTTCGGAGAAATCCAATGTTCAAACTTCATCTGTACTTATATGAAGGAATCTTTATCTTTGCATTGCGATTATCTGATTATTTTATCCGACTGCATGATAGGAAAGACAAAATGCCGCACAGCAAAGTTATGTTCAGTTATGTAAAAATAAAAAAAGTCATCAAATTGCAAAGTGTCCAATAGAATAAATATTTAGCTGTTACAAAAAACCACTACGTTTAATGTTTTCGATATGGGCCCATATTTTTAGCGACTGCAAAGGCATCTGTTTAGGGTATAACATCGGAGAAATCACTGCACTAACACTGAATTATTTTCATGGCAGAATGGTCAATTGGTATTTAGTAAATGGCAATAAATAATACCTCCATAAGTATAAGATTTACTTCTCATTGTAGAAAGCGCATTGTATTTTCTTGCCACTTATAGATTGTTTCTAAAAATTTAAATAACCTTATCATGATGAAGGGTTAACTAAAATAACGACTTAGTTACATGAGCAAATTTAGTACTGATACATCAAGTTAATAAAATTCTGAAGACAAACAACGCTATTAATATGTTGTGTGTTAATTTATAATCTTCGATTGTAGACGAGTTTGATGACTACTGTATTGGCCATAATAGTTGAAGGTGAACTTCAGGGTAATGTCAGAAGTACAACAAAGCTGCGACCTATCGCTGCGGAGTTTTTTTAAATCTAGTTTGTATGTATAAGAAAGCTATAGAGCTAAGAACATATCGGAGGATATGAGTACATTCCAGAGCAGGATATTACAAGGTAAAATTATCTCTTTTTTGAGCGCACTGAGATAAATATAGTTCTGAATGTATCCCGGTACTGTGCGTGCGATGATAAAAAATAATCAATTAGACAATTCTTAAAAGCTTGGATCAGAAAATCACATCATATATATCGGGAAGTTGAAGTCGTCGTGGCCTAAAGGACAAGGCGTCCGGTGCATTCGTATCTTGCGATGCACCGGTGTTTGAACCCCGCAGGCAAGTACCAATTTTTCTAATGAAATACGTACTTAACAAATGTTGACGATTGTCTTCCACGGTGAAGGAATGACGCCATGTAGTAAAAATCAGACCCGCAAAATTATGATTTGCGTAATTATTGGTGTTAGGACGTCTTGTGAGCCTGCAAGGGTAGGTACCACCACCCTGCCTATTTCTGCCGTGAAGCAGTAATGCGTTTCGGTTTGAAGGGTGGAGCAGCCGTTGTACTGTAAAACTGAGACCCTAGAACTCATATCTCAAGGTGGGTGGCGGCATTTACGTTGTACCTAAGCACACTTAAGCAATAGTTTTAGCAACGTCACCAGGTTAGAGCCCCGTGAGCTTATCTACTCGCCCGGAGAATCTAGTATCCCTCAAGGATACTAGAATAGGTAGGAAAAAAAATGTTTGATCCAAATACATACAACAATGTCGAGGAGCCCCTTACCAACGTGTTTTTTTTCTGAAAGTTACATATTCAGTTTTACTTATACTTCAACATTTGAGATTCATGATATTATGTCATCTGTAATGATCCCTAGTAGCTTAAAACAAGGAAGTTACGGTTGTTAATTAAACTCTACGCTGAAAGTAACATACTAAGGTAAAGTTAATTACGTACTGTCGGTAATAGTGTAGCTGTACAGAGGTTTCTCGTTGAAACAATTAATATTCGTTCGTCGTACGAAACACATCAGTTTAAATTAAATAACTTTGGCGTGTCGTCTCGAAATTTTAAGTGAATTACGTGAACTTTAGACTTGCGTTCGAATGTTTGTGTGTCGTTGCTATTTCTACTTCTGTAAATAAAACATTACTAAATATTGTTGGCAAGCAAATTTAAAGTTCAATCTAATATACTCATAAGGTTTTATAACTTAAAAAAAAACTTTTCGCTTTGGACTATTAAAATTTATAGGATTCTCACAATTATTGGCATAAAAGGACATTGAAATTCGTTGGGAGACGAGATTTTGTAATATTTTTTTGATACTAATGATAATGACATTGCTATATAAATCGGGACGTTAGGTGGCCGCGTCGTTGCATATGATTGTTGCTCGTGGATTCGTTTGCATAGAAATCGTTGGAATGTGTAGACTGTAGTGTTAACTTTTTACTAATTTCATTATATAGACAGTTGAATTACTACCAGAATCAGGGATTACAATAATAGTTAGTGATTTGTGTATGACAACATCGAGCGACCGCTGTCAAGCAGAGAATTTAAGTGTATTATTTATGCATGGAATGATTAGATGTTCACCCGCAATGTCAAACGCATCTCTATTCGATGTTATCCGCCCTTTATTACAATTGTCATTTATTCGAATACAAAAACAATAATCGTTATCAAAATAATAAAATAATTTAAACTATAAAAATAAAAACAAAAAAAATATAATCTCAAATTTAATTGATTTTTATTACTAAACATGTCGTGTTCCGTTATACATATTTTATGAATGTTATCATTTCTTATTAAGTTTTTTCTTGACGTAGGGCATTTCGAGTATCTTTATCTCAGTTTTAAATCTTATTTATTACAAAAGAGACCACATTAGTGGTTATTGGAATCTACAAAAGAATAACGCATAGTTTTATGGGCATTAAATGGAACTAATAAGCCATTTTAAATATTTCCAGTCGTAGTCTATAATATAAACACTTAAATATGTGTCTGATTAAAAATCAACATTAAGTTGTTTTAAAAACAGTTTCAATTACATTGAACATGTAAAAAGCGGCAATGTTAATTTGAAATTTATGTCGATATAGCACTGGTTTGTTGTGAATTGTATGGTAGGTAAAGTTCTAGTCAAATATCTTGGAATTACTATTGTGTTAAAGACCTTGTGATTAAATTATATACATACGTTGGAACGAATCTCGTATAATAATTGGGCCACAGAAGTTTAATTCAGTTGATAAAAGTGATATAGGTATTCTTCAAATCACAAACAAGTGTGAATTTATTTACCAATATTGTTTCAATATTTAAATTACGATCCAGATAGGTAAATGGAAGAACATCTGTTGTAATAGTTGTAAATTAATAATCAGTTGAGGTGCCAGCCGATGTATCGATGTACTATAAGTATATTGCAGACTAATCAAATGTTATTAAAAATGAATCCATCAAATTTTACACATAACTGAGGCAGACTTCAACAAAGATCAATGTGGGACGTAATTCAAATTGTTTTGTCTATGGCTTTTGGTAAGCACTTAAGACAAAGTCAAGTCTACCCACGAAAGAATAGCAAAAAACGTAGTTATTTTATTTATTTAAGCTAATTTTACAGTATAACATTTCCTAATTAATGGCATCATTCGGTAAATGTATACTGCTCGTTTGTTTAAAGATAATATAAGTTGATTGCAATAATGAGGTGCAGCAATACGAGGTGAATTTGCAGGCACCAATATAGTATTTGCAGACCTATTTTTTTTCATATCCACAAAACGAATTCACACGGAGCGCTTTGAGGAATTGTTACATTTTTTCGCGAGACGATTTCAACGTAACCTGGCAAATAGGTGAGCTCACGGGACTCAAATCTGATGTTGTTGCTAACACGAACCCTAGCCAGAGCTGTGCTTCGCAGAATCTACCATCGGGTCGGAAACGCGACCCATTGAGAAGATTCGGCGAGAAACTCAGTGGGCTGTGTCTGTGGGTTAATTTACTCGCCGAGCCCTTCGTCGCAAGCGAACGAAACGCAAGAACGATAGCTGGTATTGTTCGATATGATCCCTCCCCCTTTTTAACATCGCACCTCTCGTCACCGGAGTAGAGTTCATCAGGACTCTCCTCGACGGAGTTTCCCGAGCGATATGAATTGTTTTTTTCAAACGAGGCTTGCGAAGAGTGCTCAGCGGTAGGTAGTGACTTGGCAGCCCCTGACCATCCGGTGGGCCGTATTCTCGTCTGCCTACAAAAGCCATAAAATTACTGTTTCCAATATCAGACTTATATCTAGTTTGATAGGTTACTTTAAGGTGATATTTTACCTATTACGGAAATTATCAATATAATTTATCAACATCTATCTCTGAACATTCGAAAACAATTTTATTTCACCTGTGGTGTGTGGTGGCGATCCGTGTCAAGTCTTATCATTGTTTTCTGACACGGTACCCTTGTATTTCACATTGAAGTTCAGATGTTTTTAGAGCCATGACAAGAAAATCCTACCATATCGATATCATATCTACCGTTATCATATGTGATTGTTTGTACATATGCACATATTTAGCACGTAAGATACTTTCGTTGGAAAGTACATGCTATGTATAACAATGTCTTCGCTGGTTCGTGTTTTTACATACCAACACGTCTAAAATCGACTGGTAGTTTGTGGACCAAAAAGTATTCTTTGTTTCCACCTTATCCCACTAGGTGAGATAGACACCAAGTTTTCTTCTCCATCCTCCTCTATCAGCCGTCACCTCAACACTCACTCCTATTTGTCTAAAAACGTCATTCACACACTCCATCAATGTCTTCTTCGGTCGACCTCTTCCTCATCTACTTTGTACTACCATTAACACACATCCCCCAGTCACATACATCTCCTCTCAACGCATCACATGTCTATAAATACACATCCATCTCAACATCCGTATCTATGCCGCATGCACTCCTCATTCATGCTCTACTTTCGTCGCATAGCATTCAAATCCATATAGCACGACAGATCTAATGATCGTTTTGTGAACCTTCGCCTTAAGCTTTAGGGCTTATGGACCAAAAAGTGACAGAAGCAATTCTTTATTCCGGAAAAAA